GATCTTAAGCCTTGCGTCTCTGATTACATGTTTTCTTTTCTAGTCTAGCTCCCTGAAAGATGAAAATCTCAAAGCTTACTGTTGTTTTTGAGTGATGCCATACTAATTAAAACCACCCACTGTTTACCCAATGCAATAAGACGAATCCAAGCGTGAGTTAGGTTGGTTGCAAACTCAGGACGAACCCAGCAAAGGTTTAAAAAAAAAAATGTCAAAAGGGTGAAAATGCTAATACGTATTCAAAAATAAGTTTACATCATTTTTTTTTATAAAGTGGATTTTTTCATATCACATAATTCCATTAATTAACTATAACTTGTTAAAAAATTTAATTAGGGACCAAAATAAGATTGGATTTCAATCTTTAAGGACTCAAAAGGAGATTTTTTTAGTATAAGGATAAAAAGAGACTTTTTTTTAATAATAAAGGGATTAAAAAAAGTATTTAACCTATTAATTTTAATGTTGTACTAGAATCTAAATGAATGCACTCTCCCTACTCGCAATTTGTGATATGATAACTATATATTTCATTGTAAAGCATATCCTAAGTTTTAGGATAGAGTTCTTATCCTCTTTTATTTGAAATTTGAATCTCTTATCCCAAAATTGTAATTCGTTTGAAAAAAAAAAGAAGAAGATACCCTCCAACTTTTAAAGACTTGATTAGCACACATTCAAAAGCGTCCAGGTTTCACGGAAAACACGAGGAGGGCATTTCCAATTGAAGCCTGCGCAGGACTACATATGATGAGAATACATGTGGGCCGGGAAATGAAGAGCCATGGATATTTGGGTCCCTGGTTTTCCAATCCAAATAGCATGTGGTTTTCAGCGAATTTGATGGAGCAAATTCATTGCCCTTTTTTAGCTTCGACTATACAATTTTTTTGGGTTTCAAGTAAGTTATGGATGCCAACTTTTCCACACTTTAACAATTAACATGCTTAAGGAAAATGAAAAGACCATTCTAAGCTGGCGTTTGCTTCTCATCTAATTACAGTAATGTCTAAAACTAGTACTTTATTATTACTACAAGAGGGGGACAATATAGAATTTTAATTTGACTGCCACCCCTCTCATGCTTTTATATATTACTTCCATGGACACGTAGAATTTTGGCCTAAAAAAATCTAAATTCAGAGTCTTCAAGAGTAGTTCTTTAGAATCCAAGATTGCTTTATGGTTTTTTTTTTTTTAAAGAAATATAGAAATCTAGATTCAATGCATTAATTTAATCTTACTCAAACCTAGATTAGCTTTCATATTTTACCATTAATTACAATTAAAAGTGCGCAATCATAATTAATTAATTAATATAGTATTAATTATGATAAGGAATTAATCATATATATATATATGCAATATTTACTAGATTGCATGAAATATAAACACCACAAAATGAACATGGAGTTACAAATAATAGCATGGTGCAAAACTTATTCTAAAGTTTAACATTATATAAAAAGTGTATGTCTTGCTTATAAATTTGTAACCCAAAAATGTGTACAAATATTAATAACAACAATTGATTAAATGCATATATGTATTATGGATATATTGATTGATATATGTTACAATTCAACACACTACATAACATACTCATTATTTTAATAACTAAATTGAAACAAAATATTAAAAAGTATATTAAACTAAATATATACCAATTATTTTTCATATATTATACTTTAGTATTTTTTTTCCTTACATAATTACATTTGGATGAACCAATACGATCTCTTAATTATGCGTAATTGCACAACCCATAAACGCAATGCTCCCCGTAATGGCACTGGTGGTTGCACCGCCCGCAATGCTTCTTGTTCAATTGTTTTTTTAGGGCCTTTTCCCGGGGACCCTTCTTCGTTGACTTTGCCTTTTGTTTTTTTTTTTTCCTTATATAATTACACTTGGATAAACCAATACGATCTCTTAATTATGCGTAATTACACAACCCATAAACGCAATACTCCCCGTAATGGCACTGGTGGTTGCAGCGCCCGCAATGCCTCTTGTCAAATGCTATGTTAACGCACTCTCCCCTGCAACACTCCTCCGTGAACTTGCACTTTTTATTGCACGCACCGCAGTTGTGTTTGTCCTCTGACAAGTCCATGCATTTGTTATTGCAGCAAGTGGAGTTCTTTCCCTGGTTGACATAGCAGATTTCATTGTCCTTGTGGCAATGGTGTGCCCCCCTTGAGGTCTTGCTGTCCTGCACAAGGAAGCGGCTTAACCTCTTTGAAGGCATTGGCTTGATGTCATGCATGACACCATGGAGGTCTTCTGTGGGAGAGGAAGGCAGTGTATTCTTCTTGACCTGGCCAATGCGGTTGTTCATGCTGAGGGTTGCGATGGTTATGGCCATGGTGATGGCTATGGTGAAGAAGATGATTCTCATGACTCCCATGGCTATAAGAGTAGAGGATTTGGATTGTTATTCTTGGGGAGATATATTGAATTCCTCTTGTGAAGGGGAAATGGTGGGGGTAGACTTGGGGCTTATATAAAGAAGATTGGGGGCAAGAGAGAAAACTCGTCATGCCGAAAATCCGCCATGCCGTTAGGAAAAGCAAAGTGGCCGGTTTGCAGCAATGCAAGAAAATTGAGGAAACCCCAATTCAAGCAAAAAAACACACAGGGTCACCCTTTGCATCCGAAAACCAAAACTTGACATCAAAGATATATAAACGCCACTCATCCTTTTTTATGAAGATTTTTAAGCAGATTCAAGTTAGCTACTAATGAATAGAAATTAGCCACGATAACGACTCACACATTTTTTTTTTTTTTTTTGAGGCCAATGATTTGGGATACACGTTTTTATGAAAAATTAAGCAAAGGTTGAAATTAATGTTGATGATAAGGATATATTTATAAATTTATAATTTTTATGTATTATTCTCTTTATTTTAAAATAATTGTAATTTTTTAATTTTAAATTTATCTTAAATTAATTATCATTTTTTATTTACCAAAATAGATAAATATATTTTTCATACTTTAAGTTTTTAACACTTTCATTATTCATTTACTTTAATTAATTATCTAATCACAAAAAATCTCTCTTATCTTTTAATTTTTTTGAGAGTATTATAGGTAAATATGATTATTGTTCCCAAATTTTTAATTTAAAAAAATAAAAAATAATAATAATTTTTTCGAGATAGAGAGAGTATTAAACTTATAAATGCATATAATATTACAAATTGTTT